CCATCTCCGCCCAAATTACATCACATAACACATAATAGTGTATCTTTAAGATCTCTGTGAGATGACAAAGGCAATCGGCTATCCACGCATTCTTTCTCTCGAGAATTTTCGCACACCGAACTTTCGTCTCGTCGCTGAACTACTGGAATGGATTGTAAAACGGTAATCACAACCTTAAGGAGGACATTGAACTTTCAAGTGGGCTAGAAGTTTTCAAATGCAGGTTCGACCCGAGTGCAACAATTAGTGCTGAGCACACGACCACCGAACAGGATCGGGTACTATTCATCAAGCAAGCCGTTCTGCTCCTTTTGCAAAACTCCAGACTCAGACTAAACCCTCGACGGCTTTATCAGGTGGGTTGGAATAAGTACGGTTCGGCCTATGAAAAAGTTTAGAAAAAATATTGAGATTTTTTTTGGGGAAATTACTCCTTGAATCAATATATTCGAGTTAAATCGGAGAAAAAACTTTGGACTTTACTGGAAATCTGACTCATCCTCAGCCGAGGTCAGGGAAACTACTGAATGATTGCATATCTGCGGAGTAGCTTAGTATCTGCTCATAGCGCGCGAATCCGCATCCAAGTGTATGCCGTCAGCCCACATCGTCGACACCTTCCCCTCGGGTCCCAAGCTTCCTCTTGTTGCTATGATATTTTTCATGTTGTCAGTAGGCGCTTGACTCGATTTGGTGCCTTCCATATGAACTTGCTCTTCTGAGGGGTACCAACTTGCACCAAGGAAGCTAATGAAGTCGAGTAAATGTATTCAGAGGCCATATGCCTCACTGTCCCGCAGAAAAAAGGAAGAAAGGGGTGGTTTAGGTATACAGAAAATCACTAGCTCTGAATGTAATCGTTTTCCCGAAGGGATTTTCTTGTTGACGGGGTAGTCTGAGCTCCGGGGAATTTACTGCATATAAAATGGTATGCTTTGCTCTCCAAGAAAAGACTCGTCCCACTTGTCTGCTGTTCTCATCTCCCTTTCGGCAGAGATTGTCGATGAAAAGGTGCTCTCATCAGCAGACAAAAGAATGGCTCTCGATAACTAAAGCATTGGGGGAGCTCTGGAAGCATTCAGATTGTTTTCGTCGCCGTAGGCGCTCAGTAGGATTCTCTAAAGAACAGCGAGCCTCTCAATGTGGGAAGAGTAGCCATGCTTTGCTCAACGACGATCCAAAGTTCCTCATTCCCGAACACCCCCAGAGTAAAGGTTCCCTCTCATGGAAGCAAACCTCAAAGCTTGTTAAAGGCGCGGTCCACGAAGAAGGGTTCCCGAAATTTCTTTATAGGATGAATTTGAAATCCTCCTAATACAATATGTGCCGATGTCAGGTCGAGAAACGCCCTGGGTAGGACACATTAGGGAACCAGACATTGCATCGTGTTAATGCCACTTCTTAAAGAATTCCACTACTTTTGGAAAGCCTTATTTTCCGCGAAGTAAGCGGATTCTCTCGCTTTCTTCGACACCGATGCATTAAGCTACATCAACACTTCCTCTTTTCAACTCAAAAGTGGTACCTCAAAATGATCGTGAGCTGTGCCTTTAAGTGCATGTTTTCCAACTTCGAACCTCTTCTCTCATCGACTAAGCCTTGTCGCATTAATCGAGGTTGACACTGCCAAAAGTCGATTCTCGTTGCAGACCTCCTGCCCACACACATCAGTTCACTCGGCCCATCATTCGCACAGGCATCAGACCACCGATTCAGCGCTGAGGGCTGCTGAGCAAGCGCACTAAGTGGGGTAAAAAGAGTGAATGATGAATCAGCTTACTCATTTCCATCATCTTTTTTTTTATAAATAATCAGCATTAGAGTAATTTTTGAAAGATTTTGAAACATATTGACGATGCCGACCTCTGTCTTGAACTTCTATTGATAACGATCAGCTCACTTTTCTTCCAAAGCAAACAAACAGGTTGATCGATGGCGCAAGAAAAGCGCCAGAAATCAAGCAGTTCTACACTCTGCCAGTTTCTATGAGGAAGATAGAGAATGATTTACCCGGTGGCACTTTGAATAGGCTCTTTCTTTTTTATCGTTTTTCGCTACTTTTTCATTTTGTTTCGCAAGCAGTATACAAAGCGCGAAGTTGGTTTATGGTTATCAAAGCTAGGTTCTTGATCCTCTTAAAATCCCCGGCTATAATTTCAAATACCAAAAATCAGCAGAGGATTTCGCCTCGGCATAAACCGTTCCTCCATAGTTCACAGGCGGTGCGGGATCTTGGGGTGCCCATACGAACGGCACCTGGCCGCCCCCGTTGCAGTAGTTCAAGTGTAAAAGTGAGGATTGAATGCCCAGCAGGTGATTACGGTAAATGTCGCAAAACCTTGCAGCAGTGCGTGTGTACTTCTGACTGTGGAATTCAAAGTAAACGGTGCGCCACCCCCTTCCCAGCGGAGAATTGAGCTTTAGAGAGATGGAAACCAAAATGAAATCCCCGCGCTGCTCAACGAATTCTGTAAATTTCATAAAATTAATTTTACTCACACTTATAATGTGCGTGTATGTGATCTTGACGCACAATTGTGAACTTTTAAACAATTCGATGCACCAACCCACTAGCACGTTAGCAAAAAATGAGAGGCTCATTTACGTTATCGCAGTAGGGCATGATAAGGCCGTTTCCTATCATCAGCAGTTTTGTCAACCTTTGTTGGAACGGCGTTGATTTTGCTTGCTTGTAATCGAGTGGGATCTGCCACAGGTTTCAGCTGGAGGGACGTGTAAATCGAGAAAGTTGAGCCGGAAGCAAAAACGGATAGCAATAACCCACTCACACTGGTCGTTTTAGCTCCATAACACGTGCTTAGTTGTTTTAGAGCATATTGTGAGTAGCTGCATTTGCAAGATATACTGACAGTACATATTTTTCTGCAATCCTACTGTTTTCCAGCACTATCTAAGGTAATTCTGCTGGAAGCCGTTCGCCTCAGGGTGACAGTGGGAAGCGACACATCTAGTTGTAAGAAGCCAAGGCGCGTGTGCGAATACGCGGGACTCCTGTTTCAACAATTCGTCCGACTAGAAGGGGTTTTTTGTTCACTTTAATCTTTTCGGGATTACTCGTCAACTAGGGCGGAAGTGGTGTAATGGTAAGTGGTCCACTATCTCGCACTGCTGTTACATTTTCGAATCCCATTTAGATATCCACCTAAGCCAACCAAGCCTTCCATCAGTCCGGGTCGGTTGACTGGCACCAGATCCGTCTGGGAGGACAAAGGCGCTGACCTGTACATTGGCTGGCCACTTCAAGTCATTGTATAGGCCAAATACGCATTCATTACATCACTACGATTTTGAATAGGATTCGAATGCGGGGCAGCATTTTCAGACGAGATTGATTGAAGGCACAGTTCACGAGAAGAACGGTTTCTGAGATTTCCCCATAGGACGAATTCGAGGCCTCCTCATATATCATATCTGGCGCTATTAGGCCGGAAAACGGCTTGGTTAGGGCGTTAGAAAGGCTAAAAGATTGTCGCGTGCGTATGCCGAACGAGTTTCAACGGCATTGTAGAGGCTGCACCATTCACCAGACAACCCATATAGGGGGATCAAACAACTTGTCATTACCAATAGCGAAGGGCAGTTTTGTACAGTACTTGCTTGATGTAGTCAGCTTTTTGCACAATTGCAACAACTGGAATCTCGTCCAAATACCTTTTCTATTGTTATTTCCGCTACGGTGATCTCGTGAACTGCCTTTAACGCCAAAAGGCTTTTGTTATCTCCACTTGATCGAGTAGAGATAACAAAAGTACCAAAAGTTAATCTTGAGTTACCTATGTATACCTCTTCCGTGGGACATCTTTCGTATATGCCTTAATGTTGGAAATGAAGCAGAGTCCCACAATTCACGTGCAGAAGCATTCTGTATCAAAAAAATGTAACTAGCATAAATAGTAGCCGAAACAATGAGCCCACAAGAATGTATGTCAAGAAATGTGATAAAATTTTTTTAGGAAAAGAAGCTTGCCATAACCTTAGGTCTTCAGTGGCCTAGGGGAGAGAAAACAAACCAATTGTTCTTTATTTTGGAAGCGATATCATCTCCACACCACTCCGTCGCCATTTGCCGTAGATGCTTTGAGTGCGCACTCCAAATTGACACTATCTCCAAGCAAACTTTGTGCAATCATAAATTTTTTAGGAGATTCTTTTAACAATTTCGATTCCCATATTCGTCAACAGCATTTTGAACCCACTCGTGTACCTGGGTCCCATTCAAACTTTCATGGGAAGTTGATAGGTTCCTTCCTTTGTAAATACCTTCTAGAAGCTTCCTAGAGTTACTGGAGGAACCACGTTGAAAATCCTTACTTTATATAAAGCGCTCGCGTCTGTCTATCCGTCTGTCTGTCTGTTTGTACGGAAATTCATAACTCCTCTCTCCGTGGACATAAGAAGTTCAAATTTGGTAGAAGCACAGGCGGCAGGATGGGAACACATATGGTGGGTGGCAGGACCGGGCCCCGCCCACAGGGGGCAGGGTTTGTGCGAACAAAATGTTTCAGCGGAAAATCATAACTCCTGTCCCCGTGGACCTAGAAAATTCGCATTCGGTAGGAGTACCCGAGGCAGGGTGGGAACATAGTGGTGGGTGGCAGGGAGGGGCTACAAAGGGCGAGGTTGGCGCCAAAATTGTCAATTTGGCTCT